TTTTTTCCTTTTCTTTTCCTTTTTTTTTCTTCTTTTAATTGTATTTGCGATTGACTGGTTTATTAAGAAAGGAATATATATATATATATATATATATATATATATGTTATATTATATTTACTTTATACGTGGACGCATATATGTGTTTTATTTTTTTGGGCAGCTTACACATTTTTCTACCTATTGTTATATTATATTTTTCCTTCCTATTTTTTTTTTCTTCTTCTTCTTCTTTTACGATCAAACAATCAATCACGATCATTCATTTTTTTACTTAGAACATTTGGTTATTTTTTAAAATTAATGTTATTATTATTATTGTTTCTGTTTTTCAATTGGCAAAATCTGTACGCGTATGTGAAAATTGTAATCTTTGATAGACACGATTTTAAATTAACAATTTAACGAAACATGTTTTTATAGCTTTTTTTTTTTAATTATCTCCCTCTCTCTCCCTCTCACGTTCGGACGATAAATTTAATTAGAATTTGTTCGCAAAGAAAATAGTATTTATGTTTACGTACTTGTGGTTCGTTTTTTAAAGTAAAAAAAAAAAAAAATAGAAAAATATCGTGTCTGATAAGATTACAATCGGACTCAACAAAAAATGAGAATATTAGTAAAATTAAGAAAAAAAAATAAACAAAAAATAAAAAGGAGAAAAAGAAAACCAATCGAAAAAATCGTCTCTTTCAAAAACTGCGTGCAATGATTTTGAAAGATGCTCTCAAAAACAAAAATATAAAATAAATGAACAAGATGTCTTCTTTCGTATAAGTTGTTTTTTTTTTTAGTATGGAAAAAAATAAATAAAAGGAAAGGAAAAAAATATTAAACTAAACCATAGGAAAACTCATTGAATCATCAGAGCGATATGAAAATTGAAATAAGAAATATATGAATAATAATAATAATAATAATAATAATAATAATAATAATAATAATAATAATAATAATAATAATAATAATGATTAAAAAATAAATAAACAGAATTAAAATAAAACTAAAAATAATAATGAAGAAGCACCGACACATACACACATACACACTAATATTATTAACATTAATGAATAATGATTTTAAAGTAAGCGAATTACATTTATAAGAAAAGATTATGAAAATATATATTTATCTATGTCTTCTGTGAAGATAGAAAATAGTACTCTCTCACTCTATATTGATGATATCGAAAGAAAATGAAAAAAAAGAAAATAAAATTAAATAAAAAAAAAAAAAAATTAAAACAAATAAATCGAGAAACGACAAAGATACAAACGCAGAAGTAGATTAAGCGGAATGATGATTAAAAAATAACTCGCACTGTACACACACAATACATGATACGTTCAATGGCACACACAATCTTGTTGAATATCTTTGTACATATTTACTTAAAGACCATCAAAAAAATTGTTCGGGTTCCAGCGATTACGTTTATGTATTGTAACACGTACTCCTGCGAGAGTTGGTAAAAAAAAACCATGTGACTTGTTTGTAATAAATTATGAATACAGTTCCATCTTATACACACATCCAAATTTATATATATATTTACATATATATATATATATAAATTCAGATTAAATATTTAAATTCCTGGGTCAATATTTTCTTACCGAGAGATATTTTATTACGTATTAAACTATTTTTATGTATCTGAGATAAATATTCTTTTTTATATTCATTTTCTTTTTTTAAGATAACGAAACGTTTGACAAGAATTGTTTATCAATCAATTTCTAATTGTATTACGAAACTTATATATATATGATTTTTCTTTCTTAGTAATATTCATTTTGCGTGTTATCATAATCGTCTCTAAGAAAATATTGACTATGTTCTAATATACAAATTTGCAATATCAATCTGAAATTGTTGATATTTTTTTTTTATAATTCGAGAATTAAAACGTTCAAATTTTAAAATGTAATATGACACATAAATTGAGACATCATTTGTAATTCATATCCTGGAACTGCCATATCAAAGAATTAGAGCTTGATTATGAAAAAATGATAAAGAATATCGGTTAAAAAAAAAAACAAAATCTACCTGTATATTATATTATCATAAATGAAACGAAATGAGGATCAAAGTAGTTGGTTTAACGAGTAAAGGAAATAAATGAAATGATATATCATTAAATTAGAGGTTTAAAAATATAATAGAACTCAGTATATGTACAGTATTTGAAAAACATGTTTATAATTTGTATGGAAAAATAAATAATTGATATAAAAGGGGTTATTTTTTATGATAAATGTATATATTATACATACACGTGCTTTAAAATGCTTTCTCTCGTTACGGTTGATCGTTCGCATTTTTCTTTTTTTTATATATAGATATATATATATATATATTTTTTTTTTTTTTTTAATTTAGTAACATATGTTCATCTTTCTGCATACATTAACTTTTCGTTTATTTCTTTTTTTTTCTTATTTATTTTTTATATTTTCAACGTTATCACAAAAATTTTGCTTGCACGTTGAAAATGGACCCTCCCGATTTTATCTCTCATCCTTCGTACTTCTTTATCTCTTTTTTCATAATTGTGTGTTTTACTACTCGCATAAGATTATTGATTATTTAGGGGAAAAAAAAACAAATCTGTATAAAAATTCAAAGGGATACTTTTTTTTTTCTTCTTCCAAGGAAGAAATAATAGAAATATGTCGCGTGAATTTCCATTGTAAATCGTTTCATATAAAAATTATGTAAATGTCCATTAAAATAGAAAAATATATATATATAAATTTTTATAAAAATAAAAACAAAGTAATTAAAAGAACTGATGATGATCTATCAAATGGTAATAAAATATAAGAACGTATTTCGAAAAAAATTAATATCAAATATTTCGCTCTATCTAAAAGCTCGATAATTAGCGAAAGTTTATAACAAAACAATTTTTCCATCGTCCGAAAAAAAAGAGGAATAAATTCGAGTTTGTTTTATCCAATCGAATTCAATCAGATCCCTGCTCTACTATCGTATTAATTTATCATTGTTTAATAAAAAATATTTGAGGCTTTTCTCATTCGTTCGATTGACTGTTATTATTTTCATCGTTGTTTTGTGGCATCGGTGGCGGTGATGGTATATTTGGTATCATTTGTTGATGCTGCGGATGCATGTGTTCGTGTTGTTGCTGTTGTTGATGTTGAGTACGATGAACTTCTAGAGCCAATAATTTTTGTCTTTTTTCTTCCATCAATCTTTCACGATGTTTGTGAATGTAATCGTAAACGTTTGGTAATCCCATAATAACGCATACGGACAAAGCTGATCGATAAATGTTCATATCGGTTGCTTCATACCTAAAATATATAAAATAACATCATAAATAAAAAGAACGAAAATGTTATTATGAAAATAAACGTTAATACTTTTGATTGTCATACCATTCGTTAGTTTTTTCGTCATAACATTCAACTTGATAAATCGTAGTTACACCATTGTATCCACCAATGGCAAAGATCATGTCATCGATAACTTCTATAGCAAAATTACTACGAGGATTGTACATGTCTGGTATAGGACTCCAAACGTTGGTAACAGGATTATATTTTTCACCACTGAACATTCTTGATATCCCATTGAAACCACCTAAAAATAACAGTGACAAATATTAATATATTATTTAATAATGATCTCTGTTAATTAACAATTAATTATAAATTAGATTTACCAATAACATAAATATAGCCATGATAAGCTATACAGGATACTCCACTTCTACGGGATCTCATTGAAGCTATCATAGTCCATTGATTAGTTTCTGGATCATAAACTTCAGCCGAATTGATGCAATCGGTACCATTGAAACCACCGGTTATATAAATTTTGTCTGTATCATGGACAAAAAAAACATTCATTAGTAATTATTATAAATTATGTATGTATTATAAATATATAGACGTATAATAATACCGTTCAATGTAGTTGCACTGGCGTCGGATCTTTGAACGTTCATTGGTGCAATTAAGGACCATTGATTGGTACGATAATTATATCGTTCAGCGGTATTTTGTCTATGGTAACCATCAAATCCGCCCATAGCATAAACCAAATCATTTAATACAGCGACGCTGACATAACATCTGCTGATCGAGGAATTAAATGAATTTGATAGGAGCTATTATCGCTGAGGAATTCAATTCAAATGCGGGGGGCTAGTCACTCGATTCAAATGACATATCTTCCAAAGGAAAAAAAAATAATGAAAGAGATAAAGAGAGAGAGAGAGAGAGAGAGAGGGGGAGAGTAGGGAGTAAAAGAAAAAGATCAAAAACAGACGAATTTATTCAAATGATGATTGATGAAACGTGACTAGCTCCCCCTGAAATATAGTCGACCTTCTGGCATTCATCGGTGCAACTTCTCGCCAAACTTTGGTCACTGCATTGAAACAACGACAACTATTGAAATAATCGAAACCATTGAAACCACCTATCACGTAGATATTGAAACCGACTACTGCAGTTCCGTGATAAGCTCGTGGACCACTTGGATCAACTTCCTCCACCTTGGAATATTTTATAATTTAATAATTAGATTATAATCAAAAGAAAATATATGTAATTATTGTAATAATAATAACAAATTATTTAATTTAATTATATATTAATAGAACAATAAGAAAACTATAAAAACGAATACCTTGACCCAACGATCAGCTCTGGTGTCATAAGTTTCGATAAAATTTGTTGCATTACCCCCACTCCATCCGCCTATTGCGAATAAAATTTCATGAGGTACTCTCGGACGTGCTATTTCCGGTGTCGGTATTTCACCGTCCTTTTGAGTGATCATTTCCAAATCATATAAAAATTTCAACGTCTCTATGATAATTGGTCGACAAGCTTCGTTACCAACAACGTAAGGATGATCCTTAACATTTTCTAAAAAGAATTGCGTGTTTAATAGGCCCAAACGTATGTTTTGCATCAATTCGACTATGTGACCCTTTCTATCATCTGGATCATGATTGATCCATTTAAGAACTAATTCCCAAACTGTTTCCTCGCTTTTTACATTGAGTTCATCGGCACCGATCAATTTAGATAATTCTTCTATCGGTAAATCAAGAATCTCATTACTTTTCTGAGCTACCTAAGTCGAAGATAAATGTTTAGAAAAGGTATTCATTATTTTTCGTCAACTATCATATATAACTTTACCTGAACGAAGTGTCTCATGACGTAACGATAAGCATCATTTTCCAATCCTTTGCAAAAATGTTCCTTAGCGAATCTTACGATGCCGATACAATTTTCCGGTTGTAAATTTTGTCGTAAAAATTCGCAACATAGTTCTAATACACCTAATATACTCAGATAATCGGCCGTTATCAATAATTGACAAACGTTATCGCGGTTAACGTCGAGCGAACGCAAATATGCGTATTCCAATAACAAATTCATTATCTCGCTTGTAACTCCTGGCAACAGGACATCGGTTTTTTCACGTGAATGTAATGTTGTAGTGAACAATGCTCTGCAATAATATTAATTAAAAATTCGCTAATCCTTAATCATTAAAAATGAATTTTGTTGGTACGAATTTAAATGACAACTACCATTGTCCAGTTCTGACCTGAAGTACGTACTGCAAGCTGATAAAATCGCACGATGTATAGGAAATATTCCGCCATCTTCTAATCTCAATACCGCATCGCATAATAAATTGTTTTGACGAAAATCGTATAGAGATTGCATCGCTTGAGTACTCATACATCTGCCACCACTTTCGGCAATCAATCGTTGAGTAGTAGTAGCATTAGATTCTTCGTTTGTGTCATTGCTATCGATCATTTCCACGTCCATATCAAATATTTTTAATTAGTATCAATTAATCGGAAAGAGTCCTCGATGAGATCATTCAACGGCGATTTATTCTGTTAGTTGTTGTTGACTTTGATCTTAATGATTCTATTATAAGTTTTTAAAGAAGTATGATATATAATACTTTATAAAAATTGTAATCGAGATTACGTATCAAATTTGTACGAAATATATAAATTAAAATAAATTTTAATATAAACTTACTTCATCGAATATATGATTAATATTAATAAATGTTATTCTTGTAAGAGGTTAGAAACTTGAAATTTCAATTTTCCTTGTGCTTCGTATATTTAAAACTTATCAATTTTGTAATTGCATAAATGCGATTATTGTTATAAATAATGACTATTGATTGAATGATTGGTTACGGAGGGTTAAGGTAAGATTTGTGTTTTTAACGAAACGAATTCATACGGTCGACAATTTTCTCTATGTTTAAAAAATATATATTTTTGTTGTTGACACACGTGGACGGACGGACGAGAAGACCGGTCACAATGTTGACAGATAAACTTGAAGGGTTGAAACTTGATGAGGGGGTGTAGTTGTGTATTGGAGGTGTATGGGTACGGTTTGTCAAATGGATACAAACTATTTAGTGTGTTTTCAAAAGCGAATAAATGTCGGCTCTGGCTATGACATAGGTCTTACATGTCCGCCGCTTAGTCAAGGACTGTCACTTGACAAATGAGAAACCATATTTACTGAAAAGTTGTACGTGGTTCCTAGAAGGCCTCGCGTTTACAAAATGACGTTTGATAATATTTAATAGTGTCATTTGAAATTGATTTAACATATATCGATAATATAAAATTCTCATTTATTATTATATATATATATATATATATATATATACTAAATAAACAACATTAACAATTATATATATTATAGTATATTATATTACAGTAAAGATATAACACTAATGAAATTCACGTAATAACAACTTGAACTTCTTTTTGTACTTTAAATAGATTCGATCATGATTATATCAGATGCATTGATAGGAAATTGCATATTGCAATTATTATCGATAACAAAATCCTTGCTATCTGTTAATTCTGTTTTAATCATTTCCGAATATTCTCTATCGTTCATTTGAATTCTTCGAATTCCGTAACATTCTTGAGTCCTTTGATCAAAGATATCGAATTTGGACCACAATTTTTTAGACCCGTCGTGATTATTATTATTATTTGAGAATACATCACGAAGCATCCAACCAACAGACATTATCGTAACATTATGATAATTAGTTTGACCTAAGAAATTAGCATTGTCTAAGAAATTAATCCAGCTACCAACGAATGATTCGTACGTCGATAAAAGTTTATCAGTATTTGGTGTTTCGATGCGTTGTTCACCAAAAAATCTAAACGTCCAAGTGACAACTGCAAAAGTCATAGCGTTTGTAGGAAATGCACGAATTATCGTTGAGTTTAAACCCCTGTAAAGACAGGAATAACCCTCGGAACGTACAGATTTTCTATAACAATCTAACGGACCGTTATAACGATTATTATTTTCCGCTTGTATACGAGATTTGATGACGTCCAATGGATAACTAACAATCCAAGAGGCTGTACCAGCTAATCCTCCAGCTAGTAACATTCTACCCGTTGATATTGGTTCCTTCGATTGGGTAAGAAACTCATATGTCAAGAAGTAAGTACCGAAGCTAGGTGCTTCTCGAAGAAACGTAATACCCAAACCATTAAACACACCACGAAATCCTTCCTTTTTGTAAATATGTTTGAGACATTTTATTGGTCCGGATAATGTCTTATTAGTCGATGATTGCAATTGCATACGAGTCTTGGCTAATTCGATGAGACTGCTGATCGGTGATTGTGCAATACCGGCCATAGCACCAGCAACAAAATGATAAGAAAGACGATCCTTATCTGACATGAGCTTCTGTGATTGTCCATAAACACCAAATATTATTGCATTCACTACGGCTACTCCTGCCATTGGTGACGTCATACCTCGATATAGACCAGACACCTTTTAATACAAATACATATGTATTATAATTATTATAGATTAGATTTATATTTTTATAAATTTTTAATAGTCAATTTTATAATTTGAAATTTACCGATTCTTTTTTAATCAAAGTCCGAAGGCAATGCAACGTGCCATTGTACTTTGGATTTCTATTATCTTGCGTTTGCATGTGGACCTTGACCGTATCCAAAGGATATCCCACCATAATACCGGCGCACCCTAAAACATATTTCAAAATAATAGATAAATAAAAATGTGATAATACAAATTATTGATATCCATTAGAGAATATTTTAGATAAATAATCCTTTTCTTCTTTTTTTTTTTTATCTTAAAAACACGAATTAATCATTTGATTTATACTACGTGGCGCGTGTTACTTTTGTGATCAAGAAATAAATATAATCAATTATATATATATATATATATATATATATATATATATATTATTTATATCGGTTTTTTAGCGTTGACCTACGATAAAGCAAGTCATGTGATAAATTATGCGATATGTCGTAAATAAATAGGGTAATATTTCAGAGTGTGAAAAATGTCTTTTAAAAAATGTCGGAAAAATTCTTTGATCTTGACCTTATGTTCTTATACATCTTTCTTGAATATGATAAATATGCAATAACTAAGGATATATAAATATTGAGTGATTGACACCATTCAAATTGAACGTATTAATATTTAGAACAAACAATTGATTTCTTTTAGAAATACTAAAAAATAAAAAGAAGAACTGTGGATGAAACATTCATTTAAACAAATTTTGATCTTTCGATCATTTTATAAATTGATAAACTAATTTTTATCTGTAGTATATATATATATATAACATTTTATTTTTAAATAAAATTACCTCCCAAACATCCAGCGGCAAAATCGAGTGCCATAATAATCGACCTCTGTTATCTCTTCCGCGATTTTTCCACTTCCAAAATGAATGTCCGTTTTTAAATAAACCGTCTCTAAAATGTAACGCTTTTAAATGTTTTCCTTTCAATGATGCATTGAAGATTTTGTTACTTGAGTATCGATTAATTTCCACAGGCAATAAATCGGAATCCATGAAAGATCGATCACTGTTAATTTGAACTAGAGTCTGAAATGAAAATTTGATAAATAAAATATTATTAATAATAATAGTCTGTATAAAAATTATGTGATTTATTTTATGTAAATTTGTGTATTTTATAATTAGTCCAGTCAAATTAGTCAAAATTAGGTAAGAATTTCGGAATTTGAGATACCAAGCTATAAACTTGTATAAACTTGTATTTTGACATTCTAAAAGTTGTCTCAAAACCTACATATGATAGGGTGTACACGACTATTAAAATCTAAGGTCAAAGGTCACAAAAATCGATTTTTTGCAAATATCTCGTTTCCTATGGGTTTCTCGCTATTAGTATTTTGTATCAATATTTTAGAGGATTAAATTCTCTACAACTTTTGTTTAAAAAATTTTTTTATACGTTGAATCGTTATCGAGATAGAGGGCGGAGAGTGCGCGGTTAGAGCATCATTTAAGGTCATCCGGTAGTCCCGGTCAAAAACACGCCATATAAAGTTTATTAATTATTGATAAATACATAATTATTAAAAATTTTAATTTCTTATTAACTATTACATTATATTTAATAATTTTTTTCATTAATTATATATCTATCTATTCAATAACACTTATAACCGATTCCTAAAATTAAAAAATAATTGAGGGACAAACTTTAATTATATTTTAATTATATAAAAAAAGAAAACATGTGTGCAGATTACATGTGTTAGAAGTGAAACCTTCAAAAATCTAAGTTTCGAGAGAATGAGACTAATGCACAGTTTCAAGAGTAAGATAATTGTAGGATTTATTTATTATAGTATTATTACCATATATAATAAAGGTCATCGGTATGGTCTCTGGGTGGAATAGCTGATAAAAAGTACACTTTTCCAAATTCCAGCAATAAAAATGGAATGCTGAATGCGATAGTTATAAATAGACACCAAAATGGTAGGATGTTTATCAAAGGAAATATAATTCGTCGGAAACTAAGTAAATACGAATAATCCTTTTTTTGAAACTCAGGTATAAAATTTGTTGTTGTTAGTATGGTTTTCAATTACCCGTTTTCATCTACATTCTTGCGCTGCTAACAAACATTTTAGGATAGACGAAATAAAGACGTTACGAAAAATATATGGAAAATACTGCTGGACTGAACGAAGGTTCTGGTAAAATGCAATGAGAGATTTAATAAAGATATTGTCTAGAAATGTTTTTTCAACTCTATAGCCTGCCACACTTCGAGACCCTTATTATTTATAACATATTTCGTTTTTATTCTTTGGACCACAAACTTATTTTTCTAAATACTCTCGTCTAAATAAAGATCTAAACAACGAAAAATCTAAAAAATGCATTGAATCATATCGCTCTCTCAGCTTATCGAACTGTGTACACTACGAGTCTCAAATTTCAGCCCCTTGGTAAGCTCCACCGATTCACGCTAGGCGTTCAACATCTTAAAAATGTTTTTATTTTATTGAAACATTAGTATAAATTTCCTAAATACGCAAACATTATAATTAAAAAACATGTCTTTGAATATTTATAAGAAAAATATTCTACAGTGTTGTCTAATTCTTTGTCTCTGATGTATCTTGTAATCATTTTTTTTTTTTTGATAAAATATTGCAGACAATACAATTATTATATTCTATACATTTCATAATTATTAATGATAATATTTGCGAAATAAAGAATTTAATATAAATTTTTCAATAAAATAGAAACATTATATATATATATCTTCCAGACTCACACAGCCTTACACACTTATACAACTTACAAAGACAGACTTCACACCTTCTTTCTTTATTTCGACCGACGGTTCGTTTGGACCTTATTCTTTTGTCGCATACCTACGTGCTTATCTTTGTTTATTCTTCTACGCTTCTATCGTTCCTACCTATAAACATTTTGAGTATCGAAATAATATGTGTTCACGCTTCGTAGTATGCAGTCGTACACAAACACACACATATACAACCAGGAGCGATAACTACGAAGCAGAGCATAAAGAAGAAACCGAGAATAGGAAAAACTATATAGCTATATTCTGTCTCATTCTCTCAAAGGCTCAATCCTATATGTTTGTCTCTTTTTCTCTCATTATTTAGTATAGCCGCCGTTTCATAGCTTCGTTACATAGCTTCGTTACACAGCTTCGTTACATAGCTTCGTTACACAGCTTCGCTTCATAGCTACGTTATTGCTCACCAATATTTTTATCGTGTTTATTATCAAGTTCAAACTTGGTTACGTCATGATTTGGAACTCCAAGAATGGGGTTGGACAATGCGTAACGAGTTCCTAGAACCTATCACGACAATTTTAGCACCTGCTCCAGAAGAATTGCTTAACACAATATTCTGCAACTGCAAGAGTGGTTGTGGTTCGCGATGTGGATGCAGGAAATCAGGGTTGCAGTGCTCTTTAGCTTGTGGGCTGTGTAATGGGCAAGCTTGTCTCAATGCTTTACCATATAAGAGGGATGTCAATAAAGACAGAACCTTTGACCCCGAAATCATGGAAGACCTAGAGACAAATGTCGTTGAAGACGATAAAGAAGAAGACTTTGAAATACTACAACGGTTGGAAGACGACGATGAAGAAGAAGAAGATTATTAAAATTATAAGTTGTAGTCCTTGTAATTTTGATTCAATTTTTTTAATTTCCACAATTATAAATCTGTGGAATGATATTTTTTAATAAAAACATTAATTAAGAATTTCTTTTTTTTTTATTTATTTAAGAAGTAATTAATATAAATTACATTAGAATTGAGATATAATTTAAGTATTTTCCTTAACAATTCTATAAATACACGGGCAGGTAAGTATTATTAAATAAATTGATACTCAATTAAAAATAGATACGTAAGTAAAATAATTATTAAATATAATGTAATAGTTAATAAGAAATGAAAATTTTTAATAATTATGTATTTATCAATAATTAATAAACTTTATATGGCGTGTTTTTGACCGGGACTACCGGTTGACCTTAAATGATGCTCTAACCGCGTACTCTCCGCCCTCTATCTCGATAACGATTCAATGTATAAAAAAATTTTTTAAACAAAAGTTGTAGGGAATTTAATCCTCTAAAATATTGATACCAAATACTAATAGCGAAAAACCCATAGGAAACGAGATATTTGCAAAAAATCGATTTTTGTGACCTTTGACTTTAGATTTTAATAGTCGCGTACACCCTATCATATGTAGGTTTTGAGACAACTTGTAGAATGTCAAAATACAAGTTTATACGAGTTTCAAATTCCGAAATTCTTACCTAATTTTGACTAATTTGACTGGACTAAATAAACTACGTTGCAATTTAAATCTCACAATATTATTGATTTGTATAAGAAAATAAATAGAAACACACGATTGCACTTATGCGTGTATATAAAATTTTATATTTTATTTTCTAAATCGATTACATAATAATTATTTATAATATTGTAATAATGATAATAATATAAATTTACTTACCGGTTGGTGGTATGTCATAGCTACATTTCCAAGAAACAGCAACGACTCGTTTTAATACACTTTTAGTGTTGTTACGTTTAAATAAAACTAAAATATTTATAAATCTCATCGAACGTTACAATTATGAATTATTTTATCCGTAATAAAATAATAAATTTCCGAATATGATTCTTATAGGAATAAATAGGTCTTCACTGTATGAATTCGTGATACTAATAAAAGCTTCTTGAGATTTCATTAAAAGCTTCTTCAAACTCTTGGAGCAAAGGTCATCGGCACGTTATCATTACAAAATATTGGCGTACTAATACCAATAGTTATTCAACAGCTAAATTTTAATAACATATACGTTGTACTTGATCTTACACTGGTTATACTTAAGAAGAAGAAGAAGAAGAAGAAGGGGTTTGAAGGAGGTGAAGATGTCAAAAGAGGGGTCAATCATCTTGAGATAAAAGAGGTCGTCTTTGGTACGAACGAAATCATTCGGCTACCTATCATTTATCTGAACGATATCTACTGAAAATATTTATATTTTCTCCATTAATGTAAATTCTTCATGTTTCTAACTGCACATTGATAAAAACAAATCTTCGATAGTGCTGATAATAAGAGAGTTCGAATCTAAAATAATTCAACTATACTATCCGCGAATTATATTTTATATATATATATATTTTTAAATTACTATGTTGCGTAATACGCAACGTTGAGGCATGAATCGTATAGCACATTTTCTAGCACATTTTCTAGCACATTCTCGAGCGGTCAAAACTCATAAACGGAACACAGAGCAGCGAGACACATTGGCGTCGGGCCCTTTGAGTGATCTCGGATTTCTATGTAAACACATGCGATGCAATAGGGGGAGCGAAATTCCTTCGTAAGGACAAAGTTCTCTATGCATCTCAGTCCCCTCTACAATTTTTACTAGAAACATAAGCTATGTCCATTCATGATCCATGAGGGGGGGGGGGGGCCTTCTACTTTGGTCAATCAACCAAGGGATTACACAACCGACCTTTTCACTATAAGGAGCCTCGAAAAACCAGCATCGTTCTATTCCATTACAACCCACGATTCACATCTATTCAACGCATTAAGCATCGGCAAAAACATGAAGAACTCATCGGCACCCGACGAAGCAGCCTAGACACATCTCATCAATCTATAAGCAACGCAATCATCAGGCAGCTTAGCATCGGAGCGATGGCCCACAAGCAACAACGCAACAGCATGCATCAATACAATTAACAATAAAGGAACAACAATCAATAAAGGAACAACAATTAATAAAGGTAACAACAATCGATTCACATTGATTCACATTCCTCTAAAATCCATTAAGACCTTCTTACGATAGATAAATAACATAGTACCGATCAAGGCACCGGTACCCAACATAGTACCTCTTATTAGTTTTTATTTAAATTTAAATTTTATCATTGAAATAATGTTTTATTTTACAATATATTTTTTATAATACAAACATACATATGTTTAACAAAATATGATATCATTTTAGTAGTATAAAACAAATATTCTTACATGGTCAGACATTTTGTAAGTAGTACAAAAGAAAATTATCTTTGTATGAAATTTTTAAGTAGTATAAGCAGGTAACTGCCTTACTGACGCTTGTACATTTGTCTGTCTTATTCTTTCTATAGTTCTGTTACTTCCTAAGAGATGGAACTACTTTTATATATTTGATCGATCGAAGGATTTTGATCGATAAGTATGATTTCTTCTTCGAATAATTATTTTAAAAATACTTATTTGAATAATTAAAATTATAAAAATTACTAAGAGTTGGAAACATTGTATATTATAATAATAATATAAGTAATTGTGTATTCTTTATTTTAAGTATTAATTTAAAAGCATAATCTAAATGTCTTTATTGTTCGAATGATGCAAATGCAATTTCATTATTAATCTGCATTTATAATTAAATGCAAAATCATTAGTAATCTTTGACATTGTTTTTACAATTGTTCGACAATGTTGTTAATTATCTTTAATTTATAATTTATTTACAAAAATCATAATAACGTAAAAAGATATTTATGAAATAATATTTGAGCTTAACGAATGACGCTTTGAAATGTTTCAAGTAAAAAGGAATGTAATAATAAATAATAATTTTTTGATTTTTTTTTTTTTTTTTTTTTTAATAAAAAGATAATATTTTTATATTTGCCATATAAGAAAGTATAAAAGATAACACCATGACCCTCGTACGCTCGTTTCAAAGAAAGAGATACTTTCTCTCAATCGTTAAGATTGAATTTTTTTTTTATGTAAATTTCTCCAATCGAATAATATTATTTTTATAGCTACTGTAACTTAACCTGCTACAAGAGAGATGAAAACCACTATACTATTAATATTTGCTTTAGTTAGTCTTTACCAGTCGTACGATTCGAATCGTTAAACTTGTCTCTTGAAATAATTTTTTTTTTTTAACATCAAATAATATTGTCAAAGAAAGATTCTTCTTCTCGTGATTATTTTATTATTTAAAAAAAAAATATAGTGCAAAATGTATGCTAAACCGAAGAATGCTAAAAATGAAGATGATATTAATAAAATTTTGAGTTCGTCACCTTTCGACAAGGTTCGTGAAAAAGAATCACATTTTTTAAAAATTTAAATTATTAATTTATATATCTATATTAAATATTAAAATTTTACATTTTATTATTTATTTTTACAATTTACATTACATTTTTTCAAGGATTAATAATAAGAATTTTATCGCAAGACTAAATCAAAACATATTTGTTATTCTTTTTCGATAAAATAATATATATCTACCTATCATTATTAATAATTTTGAATATTAAACAAAAAAATACGATTAAGATATGTGTTAAAAATTAATATATTTACAAAGATTCCACTTGTTATTTCCTTCAATACAAAAAATTATAATTACCACCACTTTGAATGGAACAAAGTTTCGCTTGAATGCAATTACATAGGATTTAACTAAAATTGATATATACATTCTATTAGGAATTCAATTTCTGCAAACCTTGAGAATGATTAAGTAAAAAAAGTAGGATGTGACGTGATTCGATTTGCAACATTTAATCATCAAGAATTTATATTAAATACATATTACGTATTGATTATATTGAAAAGATTGTTTTCTATTTTGCTTCTGCATAATCTTATTAGCATTTAAAACATTTAATTGTATGTAAAATGATTCAGAATGATGTTTATCACGATTAAGTTTTCCATAATACGTTTATCCATAATTGCTATACAATCGAGACCTTCAATCTTTTATTTCCTTATGAAACTAGTTGATAAAAGAGCAAAATAAAACTTTGAGATCTGTATTCATGTTAACATTCCATTCCAGAAAAAGTTATTGAGGACAGTGAAATCGGCCTTCGTTCTCATTGTTAAATGAATACCCATAATCGTATAAGCATGATGCAAAATTTAGTCAAATTACAAAATCCCATATTCATCGATAAACATATTTTGATTTAGTAAAAATAAAGATAATACATTTTTATCCATTTTTTTTACTCACAATCAATGGAACTTACAATTTCACAATCTTATCTCTTTATGTTAATTTAATTACTGGATAAGATAATAATACATCCAAAAGTTATATTATAAGGACAGTATTTCCGTAAACTTAAACAAAAAACCTTCGCTACGATATAAAACTAAAAGTGGGGGAAACGTAGAACGTACTTATAAAACAGAGTTGCAAGTTTTTTTACTTTTTAAAGTCATATCTCTTAGTAATGTAGAACGGTACTTTAAAATATATTTTACAACGATGTTAAACGTGAGAACACAAATTATTTATACATTTTATATTTTATTTTTGCAAATTTAATACAAAATAATATTGAATTTTATAATTGATATAATTTTTTAATTTTTTTTTTTTATTACAACAGCCTAAACTAATGCACGGTGGAAATTATATAAAAGAAGGAAAGGATTCGGCTAAGAGTACTTGTATAATATTTTCACCCAAAGGGGATGATAAAGTTGGAGAATTAGGAAAATATCTTGAATTATTTGCCGTGAGTACAAAATATAACAATATATTAATTATTATTATTAATAACGTTATTAAAAATATATTTTTTCTTTGCATTAAAATCATAGAAATATGAGATCAATCTTTTACACATTGAATCGAGAAGTTCACGTCGTGTTAATGGTTACGAATTTATGGTTGAATGTGCACCCAGTTTAAACCTTGGATCTGTCATCGAAGATCTTCGAGTACAATGCAAATACTTTTCTATTATTTCTAGGTAAAAAAAAATAAAAAAAAAAAATAAATATTACAAAATAAAAAAAAGAGTAATGTATAACGAAAAATATTAATTTTTTTTTTTTATAGGAATCACAAGGACAATATGGACACAGTACCATGGTTTCCTAGAAGAATCAGAGATCTAGATAAATTTGCCAATCAAATTCTTTCCTATGGATCGGAACTTGACAGCGATCATCCTGGATTTACTGATCCCGTTTATCGACAAAGAAGAAAATATTTTGCTGACTTGGCATATAATTACAAACAGTAAGTTTATCTACCAATGAGTCATCCATATTTTATCATCGATTACAATAATTATATGGCAAATCTTAACAAACAAGACATAGTGTTTATCTAACACGACTAGTTATTTCGCAATAATTGTTATTACGATGTAAACATATTTGTTTACGATCCGATTATTGAAATTGTCCTTTTGTTTTTTTTTTCTTTTTAGTGGTCAACCAATACCAAAGGTAGAATACACGCCAGAAGAAACTGCTACGTGGGGGGTAGTCTTTCGAAATTTGACCAAACTTTATCCAAAATATGCTTGCAAAGAACACAATCACGTGTTTCCACTTTTCATAGAAAATTGTGGATACAGGGAAGACAATATTCCTCAACTTGAAGATATATCTAATTTTTTGAAAGGTTCGATTTAAACGTTTTTCTTAGCAAAATATTTATGCTGGCATATTATTTCTTTATTATTAAATATTAATTATTTTTGTTTGTTTTTTTTTTGTTTTTGTTTGTAATAGATTGTACCGGCTTTACTTTACGTCCGGTAGCAGGTCTACTTTCTTCTCGTGATTTTTTAGCAGGCTTGGCCTTCAGAGTATTTCATAGTACGCAATATATCAGACACAGTAGTAAACCCTTGTACACTCCTGAACCAGATATTTGTCACGAAGTACTCGGTCATGCACCACTTTTTGCTGATCCCGCGTTCGCACAATTTTCACAAGTCGTTGGTTTGGCATCTCTCGGTGCACCTGACGAATATATCGAGAAACTTGCTACGGTAAAGTTTCCTTATCTCTTTTTTTCTTTTTATAAATACAGAATTATATTCAAAGTTATTCTACCTGAATTAAGAAGAAAAAGAAACATAAAGGAATAAAAAAAATTTCCATACGAATAAGTCGATTATGTGTGCATCGATGAATGTTGCAGTGTTTTTGGTTCACGGTAGAATATGGTATATGCCGACAAGATGGCGAATTGAAAGCTTACGGTGCCGGTTTGTTATCATCATTTGGCGAACTGGAATATTGTTTAAGTGGAAAACCAGAATTACGTCCTTTCGATCCAGCCAAAACGTCATTACAAAAATATCCGATAACGGAATATCAACCAGTTTACTTCGTTACGGATGGTTTCGATGATGCCAAAGAAAAGATGATGTGAGTAGGAATAAATAATACATATATATATTTAATAAATAATTCAAGAATATATCGTAATAATTTTATTCTTTATTATTTATATTAATATTTGCTTTCAGTAAATTTGCACAAACTATACCAAGAAAGTTTGGAGTCAGATACGATCCTTACACGCAAACAATCAACATCATCGACAGTAAACATCAAATAGAAGATTTGATTCATAACGTCAATCAAGAAGTTCAAATTTTGATGGAAGCATTGAGCAAATTAAAGGAATAAACGTCACCAATATTTTTCTTTACTATTTTCTAGCTAATATAAAATAAACGTTATTAATTAGGAGAAAGGAAAGGGAGAGAGAGAGAGAGAGAGAGAGGAAGTGAAAGGGAAAATTAGAAATTTTATGTTTGTAGAAAAAATTGAAATGTTATTAGAATTATGTATTTTCTAATGATAACCTGTCATACCGTACTAACATATTTTTTAATTAGATAAGGACTCAAAGATATAAATAACGTACCTGATCGTAAAGATCATTAAGAACGATCGTAAATATTTGATCGTTATTTTGTACAATCCTTTAATTCATGAAATTACCAGCTATTACATCTAATATATAACTATAATCAATCAAATAAAGTATAAAATGAGGTAGAATTAAATACTTATCAAAGCTGCGTCAAGGTTGTATCAGGATTTATAGTAAAAAGTGGATTTTTTAAAAACTTTTTAAGTAAAGTTAGTTGAAAAATTGAAAGTATTATCAATGAAACACAAGAAGTTTGTGGAAGAAGTAACATGTGTTAATGTTTCTGTTAAAAAGAAATCAATATGATGTAAGTTAAAAAATAAATATTTCTCTGAAAAACATCCCTAATGAACTTACTTCCCTTTGAACTGTAATATCAAACCAAACCATGGGTAATGTTTAGGGCTTTTCTCGCTGTCATTGTATTCACGAATAAAAGACAAAAGGGTACCTTTATTTTAAAAAAGAGAATAGCTTGTAATTCAAAATGTCACGGATGATGTCAAACGTACTGCAACAAGTGATTTTTTGTTCGCATAATGGAATTATGTTGTATATATAATATATAACAACTATGTATATATACTAATGTATATATAATAACTAGACACTTATTGTTAATTCATACAATATCTAGTTATTTCATAAAACAATTGAATCAGACACTTTAACAGCAACATATATAATAAATTATGGTACAATGGTCGTATTTTTAAGTGTTGGTGGATATACAAGAATATCATTATTATCATTATTATATATGTATATATGCATATATATATTACTTACAACTTACTTATAATACAACAAAATATATTACTTTTTTTTATCCTTATCACTGTAATTAGATTTGTGTCTTTCTAATTCGCAATTAAAAACATTTACACCCTGTATGAAACCCGATAGAAAAAAAATAGGGTCATTTGATATACATATATATATATATATATATATATATGAATACAGTGTATTATTAATAATAATGCACATCGTTGTATTATATTATATCGATCGTAATTTCAATATCATTTTCATTAGTAATATATTAATGGTTACGATTACTGACATACTTATATAATAATAATAATAATCTAACGTTCGTTTAAGGAGAAATTATGTCTCTCCATTCACCAAACTCTAATAATTAATAAACCTTTTTGTACTTTTCACATGGAGAATTCTGATCCTTCATTATAGAATACTTAAAAAACAAAGAAACGTTCTTTTTCTATTATCTCCTAGAAAATTGAAGTCTTCTTCAAACACAGATTGTAGATTTACAAAAAAGAATTTCTTTTTTCTGTCAACAGAACTTTTCACTGAAACGTACGAACGAACAGGGGTTTCAATTTTTAGAGGATCTTGGTTGTTGACCACCTGGCACTTCGATATTACCGTAAAGTATATCTGTTTGTGGCTGACATATTTGAAAAGGCACGAATTCTGCCGGATTTCCATCTGGTTGATTGGATGGACCCTGTTGTTGTTGATGCTGGGGTTGGGGTTGGGGTTGTTGCTGTTGCGGTGGCTGGGGTTGTTGCGATGGCTGTTGTTGAGACTGTTGCGTTTGAATCATAGTATTAACGCTAACATGGGTCACTCCGGAAACCGTTGGTGATACAGAATTGACCGGTAAGGCATGTGGAAATAATTCCGTTGGCACTATAGGTACTGGCACAGTGATCGGTAACGACAACATATTTACACCTTGTACGCTAGTAGATGACGGTAATTGAACGTTTGCGGTAGTATTGCATCGATTCGTTGGTTGGCACGTGTTTGTCGTATTGTACGAAATTCCCGACTAAAATTATAATTTTTTTTGTATATATATATATATATTATTATAAAAATTTCAAATGAATAATATAATATTTATTATGTTAAAATTGTACTAACGTTAAGCAGAGGCGATAAAATTCCGTATCTTGCTATGAACAATTGTTCCGACACTCTTCTCAACTCTTCCTGCTGATGAACGATCAATTGTTGAAGTTCTTCGTGTTTACGTTGCAATTCGTCTTGTATTTGATTTTGCGCAGGCGTCATAACGATACCTTGTTGGTGTAATATCTAAAACAAGCAACAATTTGAGTAAACACAATTGATTTCATTTTTGTTATTTGAATATTATTAATACCTCGTGGGTTGGTAAATTAGGAATCAATGATGCCGATGGTGTAGCAAAACCCGCTGTTACAACAGGTTGAAGATTGACCATAGCATATTGAGTTGGTTCCATATAATTTATACAGGATTGATCATCTCCTAAATGATGTTGCTGTTGCTGTTGCGATTGGTGTTGCTGTTGTTGCTGCTGTTGTTGTTGTTGTTGACAACTTTCCATGGGCATTGGTTGAGAAGCTACCGAACTACTGACCGAAGCTGTTTTAGTTCTCGAATCGTGTTTCGTTATTTGCGAATGCGGTGAACTTCTTAATGACGTTGATATTGAAGATGTGTCCGATCCTTCACCAAGACGTCGAGACATTGAACTACTCGTTATAGTTTTAGAACTTTTCGACACTTTTGTTGGCCACTGTGTCATAGGTACTTGGCAAGTTGTAGTTACCTGATAATAATAATAATCAATTACTTTAAAAMAAATATCGAATGATAATTTACATAGAGAAATAAATAATAATAATTATTAACAACCTGTTGTTGCTGTTTAACCGGCATTAGAACTACATCTTGGGCATACGTTTTATTAAAATTAGTACCAGCATCTTTGCGCATTTCTTTCATGACATCGACGTAACTGACAACGTGATGCGTACAAACGATAAATTCTGGTTTCGAATTCCATTGATTATAAGTTATGAAGAATCTAGTTTGTAGCCATATCCATTGTTGGCCCTTCGTTAAAAATCTATAGTGACAAGATGTACCCTCACCTTTCTGCATTACTGAAAATTTTCTTTTCATAGGGAAACGTTGAAATTAAAAAAAAAAAATGTACTAGGATTTTTAATTAAATGACTTACAAGATTCGTGACAAGTGACGACTTTATCCAAATCATCGACATGATAATAATCGTATCCAGAAGTACCTAGCACCTCGAAAGGTAGATATCCGATAATAGGTGGTGCTCTGTGATCTAGAAACAAAAACTTCCATTCAAGACTGTGCCGAGAAGTGAATTCAGATTTTGTGCTGTCCATGACCGACATTTCTCGTATCAACTGCGGTGTCTGTAGTCGGCCTGTTCCAACAAAAACCATTCTGTAAATAATATAATTTATATATACATATATATATAAATAATATACATATACATATGTATCGTAATGATATATTATATTGTTTTATTTTTTTTTTATGTATTATATATATGTAAAAACAAATGTGAGATAAAAATTAAATTATAGATTTACTTGTTATCGGATCCAGACATATTGTTAAACCTTGAATTAGGAACTAAATTATCCATGTTGGTCTCCACGTCAGAACCTTCATTCGAGAATATAATTAAATAATTAATATTATTATTCTCTTCTATCTAATTACGTACGAATGAATATTAAAAAAATACAAAATTTACTTACGAAAGTATCCAATAAATTGAACGAGTTCATAAATAGGATCTTCTTGATAATCAAATCCCCCTCTTTTGATGTGACATGTAAAGGATACTTGGTCCTCTAAAAATAAAAAAAATTATCGAACATATTTTATTACAAATTCTGTTGATTAAATAAATTTATTATTGTTTTAAACGTACCCTTTTTAACGGTACATCGATCCCTTATACTGTTGGGATTAAGTAAGACATTGTAAAGATGAGATTGATCCTCTTGATAAGCAATATCGTATATAGTAGTGTTTTCTAATTCACTTGGTAAATAGCCGAGAAGAGATGTAACACTTTCGGAAACGTAATAAATACGTCCATTAGATGAGAATACCATTATGAATCCATCTAAAGCCTGTTAATTGCAACAAAATTGTTGTTATGTTTATTTTATATAAGCGAAAATTCTATATAATAGTTCTATATAAAACGCATAACAATGTCAATCTATTTACTTCTAAAATAAGATGAGTAAATTCTTCGTTGGATAAAAAAGATGGCTTCCAATCTTCTTGAATTTCATGTACCCTAGACCTAACAGCAATCTCTGTAATAATACAATAATATTTTATTTAAATTTAATCATCCATTGGTTAAGAATTTTTTGGGTTTTTCTTTCATAATTATTCTCATTTAAATACAGAAACGATTGCATTTTTGTTAAACGCACCGTTGTGATTCTTCAAAAATAGGATAGTTGATTTCAATACCGTGGACTTATCCATTTTTCTTGTATTTGAGCTCACCATACTTCCAAGCTCGCTCACCAACATATTGAATTGATCTCGGCGCTTTTTCTCGCTGAGATTACGTGACTTTCTAAATTAAAAATAAAAAATGAAAATAATTATCTCTTTGATTTTAGCGCGAATTATTAAATACCGCTTACCGTTTTGTATCATCCTTATCATCGATATCATCGTCCATGGTATCACTAAATAATGCAAATATATTTATATATAAAATTATAAATCATTATTCTTTAATATTATATTATATTTTATATTTCTTTGTGTTTAATTATTAAACGTATCGAATATAATTTAAAAAAAAAAGAAAAAGAGATAAATGAGAAATCTGATTTTACTTCGACAAGTTGAGAAGGTCATCAACCGCATATCGGCATATACAAGAAAGTCAACATCGTTGTGTGGTATACTATTACGTCATACGTGGTGACATACGTCATACTTAATCGAAAGAGAGAAATCGTTTAATTAAATGGAATAATCTCTCAAGTGCATATCATTCAGTTTATGATAATGGACAAAAGTAAATTACGAATTATGGAATGTTGAATGAGCGTAAACATATGGAAATAATTAGTATTATTCGTTACGATTTAAATTGTCAATTGCAAAACAAAAACGTATTACGTACTTATATTAACGTTTGTGTTAACGTAAGCGAGCATGAACCAATAACCGTAATTGTCATAACGAATGTAATCCTTGAAAATTACCGAACGTTTGTAAATAATACTATCTTTATTATTTATTATCATAAATAATTAACGAAAGTATTGACAATCGAAAAAAAAAAATCATTTAATGGAAAAAATTCGAGAATTAATTGAATAATAATAAAAAGAAATAAAAAAAAATCGATATAAATCAAAAGAAATATTTCGATATCGAAAATATAATTGATTATAAAGTAGGGAATAATCTAACACATATGTTAACGAATTGATCCGAGTTGTTCAATAGTCAAACAAGTGTAAAATATTGTTGACTATCGATCGAATATATTAAGTTGAATGAAATTACAACGATAGAATAGTAATTGGATATAACAAGATATCGATATAAATAATCTGCAATTTTTTCTTAATCTCTTCTCTATGCGAGATATAGGAAATAAAAAAAGAGGATAAAAAAAAAAGGAAAGGAAGAAATAACATTAAAGAGATGGAATGCGGTGTGTAGGTATTTATTTCTCGGGTCGAGATTTCACGTTCGATCGGATCGAGGAAAAGTGAGTTATGGTAGTAGTAGAGACACAGACAAAGTGAATATAGACGTTCGTCGTCAGACACAGCGGTTTAGTGACGGACGGCGTAAACTACTTGCACTGTATTCCCGTCGTCTCGTAATAAACGAGATGATATGACGATGATGATGATGATGATGATGATCGATATAATATCGAAAGAGAAAATATGATCAAGATTTAATAAATATGAAAAGAAAAAGCCTTAATTATTTTTTACAATCAAAATAAATAATCACAACTCACTCGGATTGTCTGGAGGAACGTTCCCGCGTATAATTCGCCATGCAAAAGGGTTGTTGTCAATTAAAATCCAAAATAGTTGTTGTTGTCTAATTGAAAACTTGCTCCCCACGTAAAAACGTAATATTTTTCTTGACGAGATTGAGTTATAAACAGTTTAGCGATTATTACGATTGATAAGAAGACTTAACCAGCGAACAATTATTATTATTATTATTATTATTATTATTATTGTTATTATGTATTCTCAAATAGGAGTAATGTGTTCTCCACGTGAATATGTTGTTCGTTAGATCTTGCAAATCTATATTCTTTTTATTTTCCTCGTCCTCCTCCTGTTCGATACACGTCCCGGTTGTTCCAGCAATATTTATCCTCCTCGTTGTTTTCGTTGTCGTCGTCGTAACTCTCCTCCTCGTCGGTTCGTTGTCTTCTTCGAGGTGGCGGCTCCTCCACCGGCAGCACCGCCACATTTTTCGAAGCGCGAACGTACACCTACCTTTTCTTTCTTTTCTTTTTTTTTCACCCTTTCTTCGAGCAATGAAACAAGACTCTCCTGCTTTTCACCTTTTACTACTAGCCTTCTATACCTGTTTCACTCTCTCTCTCTCTCTCTTTCTTACTCTCAATCTCTCTCTGTTTCGTTTACACATTCACTCACTCTCTCTTTCTCTTGTTCGTATTTATTTCTTCCTTTCCTTCTTTATCACTCTCTCTTTCTCTTTCCGTATTTTTTTTATCTATCTCTTTTCAATCCTTACCTACTACCTCCGGACAAACCACTCAACAACCATTAGTTTCACCTAACGCACTTTCCTCACCTTAATGCGTCATGGTTACGCCACTGTTAGAAACGATCGCAGCGCTCGTATTAAAAACCCTAAAGTGTCCTTTAATACCCAAGATGAGGATTGTCCAATTTTCCAAATCATTTTAAAATAAATTTTCTTATTTATTTCTTTTTTATTCCAGGTAGACAAGCAAAAATGTTAATTTCCATGGAATTTTACAAAATTCTTTAGATACCAAGTTGTAATTTCTATTAAGCACGAATTCAATCTTCCAACTAACTAATTATATTTTATAATTATTAAACAGGTTTCAATAATAATAATTCAAATAATGATAATAATAAAAATAAATGCTAAAAATTAACAAAACAAATCTCTGGTCGTCCAATCGTGATTGAGAACGCAATCATCAGCAAAAATGAATTGCACTTGTCATATGATGCAAGTGCGCAGACGCTGCAGATAAAACTGCTGCTGTTGCTTAGTCGATGGCTCGTGGTTTCTAGCGCATGAGTGCACACACTTAGAAACTGACCAATGAAATTAAACCTGTCCGTGGTCTTTTTCGATGCGATACAATGCGATCGAACACTTCTAACGCGCATGATCAATCAAATGTATAGGATTACCTCTTTCTCTCTCTCTCTCTCTCTCTCTCTTTCAAGTAGTTATGTCGTTTATGGTCATCATTTTGAAATTGATTTACTTGGTTGATCTGAGAGAGAGAGATCATCATTCATTGTAAATTAGAAATTTGTATGAGTTCGTGTGTAGTATGAATCACACATAACCGATCAACTACGACAACCAATCGAATGCATTTTACTGTACGATTCGATGCATTTACCGCTTAAACGCGGAATTTACAATCAACGATGCACTCATTTAATTTTTTGTTTATCTTTTATTTAAAATATAAAATATTTGATTGATTCATATTTATTGATATGCAAAAAAAAGTATAATATTTAATGTTATTTTGGTCAAGGATATGGAAATGAAAAAAAAGTATCTCGTCGTATGTTTCAGTAAATTTTACATAATGTTTATTATTTATAGTGTACTCAGAAATGTCGGGCCTCAACCAGTGGGCCTATTTTTTTTTTTTTTTTGACATATTTCATCAATAAACATCACAATGTTATTTTTCCCCTAGTCCATAATACACAGTATCTCCTCTCCCTTTCTCTCTCTCTCTCTCTCTCTCTCTCTTTTTCTTTCTATCCTATCTCTTTCTTCTATCATTTATCTCTATCTTTCTTTCATTCTTACTTTACCTCACTTTCTCTTGTTCTTTCTATTAAAAGCGACGTACAAATTATTCGTTTTAACTAACACGATTGAACGATTAATAAAAATATCGTCTTTTCGTTAATTAGCCAAATAAAAATGGAAAAAAAAGAAGAAAAAAACCGGAAGAATATTTTGTTCATTATCAGTAAAAGTCATGGTTTAAAAATTATTCAAAAAAAAAAAAAAAAAAAAATCAACGTTGACACGAATTGTGAATTCGATTAGCTTGTACGTTTCCAAAAATAGAAAGATTTTATCAAACCAGTTTCGCGACGATTTATTCTATTTTTTTTTTCTATCTTTCTTTCTTCCGTTCTTTCCTTTTCTTTCTTTTTTTATTTAATTCCTCTCACACCCACGTTTTTTTTTCTTCCTCTTTTTATTTCCTTCTTACTTCTTCAACATGCCAGCATATACGTACAACAAAAATATCCTAATAACAAGTGTTCGTTTGAAACGATAAACTTAAAACGATTGAGAAAAAATCAAGTCTATACAATATGTCATTATCATCATCATCATCATCATCATCATTATCATCATCATCATCATCGTTTTCTCAGCTTAGCCGCAAATATAAGTGTATAATAACATATATCTCGACGATTTCCAAATTTTATTTCTTTTTTATATATTTATTTTTTTTTTTTTTTTTGGAAAGTCGTCCCTATCCTCGCTCTCTCTCTCTCTCTCTCTCTCTCTCACTCACTCTCATTCTTTCTCTCTCTCTCAATCTTTCTCAATGAACTTCTTCTACTCCTTCTTCTTCTTCACTTGTATTTTATTTTATTTTACTTTATTTTATTTTATTTTAATTTATTTTATTTTATTTTATTTCTATCGTTTCACTCTTCCACAACTTATCGAACGCAATACGGATGATCGTATCGGTGTAATACCTTACATGTTTAAATCTGTTACAAAAAGATTTCGTCGAATAGAACGCGCGGCGGATGCACATTATAATAAATACGCATCTTCAATCTCTTTCACCCTTTCTTTCCTCTTATTTTCTTTGTATATTATTTATACTTATTTTTATTTTTAATTTTTATTTTTATTTTATTTTTATTTTTATTCTTATTTTTTTTTTTCTTTATTTATTTTCTTACGCTTCTCGTCACCCCGTTACACAGCTCGAACTTTATAGTTTTATCATCGCTAGGGCGGCTAAAAAGTTCGAAGGACAATTCGAAAAATGGAGGGAGGACGTACGCGACAGGAGAGGGGGAAGGAGGGATTAGGGGAAAAAAGGTTCTTTTTTCTTCTTTATTCTTTTTTTTTTTCATTTTTTTCTTTAGTTATTTTTCATTTTGTTTTATTATTATAATAACTATTATTATTATTATTATTATTATTATTATTATTATTATTATTATTACGATTTCTTTCATTTCTCTTTTCATATTTTCGTGTGACAATTCCTTTTTAAAGTTTTTTGTTACCTTCATTTCTCTTTCCCCTAAGTAAGTGAAATCGAAATCGAAATTGTTTTTCTATCGACGTTCGATCGTTCTTGTTGTAATCGTTTTCTTTTTTTTTTTTTTACGATCAACGAGAAGATCAATCCTGTAACCCTAAATTTTTCAAAAGCAGCGCAAAGTTGCATCCTAAAATTCTTTCATCGAAATGATAATTCGATCGCGTTCATTCRTTCGTTCGAAAAAACTTGGTAAAAATATTGGCTGCAACTTGGCGCCACTTTGTGGGGATACGACGTCATTTTGTTATATTTTTTTGTTATTATTTCGCGACACTGACAAATTGAATTTGAACTGTTTTGGTTTTCTTTTTTTGTTCATTGACGTAATCGCAAAATATACATACATAGATACTTTCCGTTCGATTATAATAAAAGTTAGATATTTATGAAACCGATCTTTCATAATATCATCCCTTTTTGCATTGTTCTTCTTGTTTTTTTTTTTTTTTCTATTTTTCAATTCACTTATTATTTCTTTACGTATCGTTGCGGCTGGCTATGTTCTTTTTTTTTCGATGTGTAATAATAACGTGTAAACGTGTTTTTAATGTATATAGAGTAGAATGTGAGTTTTACTGTGTCATCATAGTGTACATATATCGTAAATATATATGTATATGTATATATACTTACGTACATATCATATATATATATCGTTATCTACATTTAATTCCTAGATTCGAAAAATAACATTACAATATTATATAGTGTGCACTGTCATTTTGAAAATGTTCATTATGTATTAAACTCTGTATAAGTGTAATTAGTATAATATCTGTCTTCTGTTAAGGTGTGTACGTATGTATGCTTGTGTGTTTTAGACAGGTTTAGGCCGTGGGTGTTAATCGGGTGTTAAACGTCCTTCTTAGAATTAATTTTCTTTAGTTTCTTTATTTATTTATTTTTTCTAAATCCTCGTACTATCCCTCCACCGTCGCGACTATCGATAATACGCGTTTCTATCGTTCTTTTCTTTTTCTTTTTCTTTTCATTTCAGAGAGAACAATTTTGATCGTACTTTTATTCTTTCTTTCTATTATTTTTCTTTTTTTTTTCATTAAATCCCCCTCTTATTCTTATTCATTTTCTGTCTGACGCAATGTCAATACCTAAAGATTTTTATTTTTTTTTTATCATTCTTTTTAAATAAATAATCGAACAAGTATCGCACACAACACGCTGAGAAATTATTCGGATTATATGATAAGCGAGAAGAGTACCATCAGTTTTACACTATTTTAATTTATTATATATGTATATATATGTACGTGTGTGAGAGTCATATAAAAAATTATATATTTGCAATCGTTCAATATAAAATCTTTCTTTCTCTCTTTTTCTCTTTCTTTTATTATTTTTATTTCAACAATACCATATCAAAATCGTTTGAGCGGACAAATCAAATCGATACAAACTCGCATTTCATCTTTCTCTTATTTCTTTGAGATATTAGAAAAAGAAAAAAAAAAGGATAAGAATATCAATGTGACAATAATTTACGAGTATTATTATAATCGATTGTTTTGTTTAAATAACGTGTTACGACGTTTGTAGCGTGATTTGTTCGTTTTTTATTTCCTTTTGGTTATTATTAGCGAGGAAACGATCGAACAATAATCTCAGACGTGTGTGCGTACAAATTAAAACTCGTACTACTTATTTTCACTCTTTTTCTCTTTCTTTCCTTCTTTACACACTTTTAATTTGTTTAATTTACTTTTTATTTTTGTTTTTCTTTTTTTTTTTTTGTAAGTTATATCAACGATCTTCGATGTATTCGCGTGTTGTAAAGTATTTTATTTATTTTTTTATTTAAAGATGCTCTTGCGAGTGTGTTCAGTTCGTAATTGTAAAACCGTTTTTTCTTGTGCTACCCCTAACTTTTTATTTTATCTCTTTCTCTCTCTCTCTCTCTCTCTCTCTTTCCCTACCTTTCTCTTTCTTTCTTTCATACTTCTCTATCATTCTCACTTTTTCTATCCGTCCCTTCCTACCCATCCCTTCCTTTCATTCCCGTTTTAATTCGAATAACAACCACTCCGTTAGTTTTTTCATTTTATTTCTTTTTTTTTTCTTCCTCCTTAAATGTTTTATTATTTTT